AATTCCAATTCCCTCTAAATAATTGTATAGATATTTGATTTCATTCAAGCGATAGACATTTGTCATTCGAGCTGTCCACAAACTTGCAGATCCATCATCATTCAAAGGAGGTCTCAAATGTACATTTACCAACAGTACTTGTTTCACATTTCCTGTTGTCTTCTCAGGTACCTTTACTGTTATCAAATGCATTGGAAACCAACTCCCATCCACAACTTTCTTTCCATATTGATCCTTGGCATTTGTCGCAAGAGTTATTTGAGAATTTTCCAAAAATTCATACTTGCTCAGAAAGGCCATCCCTCCAGCTGCACCATGATTATAAAAAACATAATGTGGATAGAGTGAAATCAATGATTGTTCCTCCTTGAATTTTTCATCTAAATTTCCATTTAAATTTTGATCCAAATTTCTAACGTCCTTCCATTTAATTTGTTTAAAAGCACTTTCGTATCCAGCATGTGTCTCCTGTAGACAAATTACATCAGCCTCCGATCGGAAGAGTGCATGAAATACAAATAATGCATTTGATTCTAATTTGGATTTGGTGGCATAGACGAAATTGACATTGTAATTTAGAATTTTTAGATCGGAAGAAGCAACATTTGATGAAGATGAAGATCCTCCGTGAGCGTGAATAGTTGATCTTTTGTTATCACTCATTTTTTTTTAATGGATTGTTGTAAACTGTTCTATTGAACTCATTCTAAATAAAGAAGACAATATCGTGACGTAATTTGAAAGAAATTCTCATCGTATTATCGAAACCTTGTCCATGAAAGTATAAGAATAGCCAACTGCTCATTAAAAGAACCTCTGGTAATTGTAAACACATGAGCGGAAGATTCGCAACAAGTGATCTAATTGCTAAAATAAGGCTCTTAAAATTGTCATTCTCTGAAGAACAAGTGAATAGTACATTTTCTTCCCTTAATTTTTTTAAGGAGTAAATTTGTAATTAANACAAAACCAAAATTGTGCCCAGGTTGTGATTATTGAACTAAATCGTTAAACTTTAA